GCATGTTTGACACTTTCGGTAGAACAGCCCATGCAAAATTCAAGCCAATGCGATACCTAGGGAACGCAGCGTACTCGATAACTAATTAGTCCGTTTTCATTTGTTTTCATTCGTTTTCATTTGGCAGAAACGGCAAATAACCTTTCCACTGAACAAACTGGCCAATATTTTCAGTTTGGGACGTCGTTTGAGAAAAAATTTACACTCGGGCGAAGGGTATACTTCTGTTTAATAGATTGTGTGGTTCAAGTTACTAAGTGATCAAGCGTATCGTCGATATTCAACGTAAAAAAAGGCTTCAAAGCACTGGCGAGACACGTTCATCGAGATAGCGTTGTACAGTTACAAAAGATAAATTACGTAATCCTATGCGCATACAAAGGTTGTTTATTGACTGGACATAAGTGAGAGATTATGGTTACTTCCTTAGTAACCGGGAACCGCACGACTGGGGTTATTGTGGCAGCTACTGCAATTTTTAATGTAGGCCAACTGTGATCAGTGTGAATCGCCGCGTGTTTTCTAAACAATGTCCAAGTTGCCGACAACGATCATATCGGTCACCCCCCTTAGAAAAAAAAATATATATAATAAAATAAAATGAAATGTGCCTTGTTAATGTAGATGCAGGCGTGCTAGCTGGAGACGAGAGATAGAAACAGCTCGGTCCGACAGAGCATGTGTTTCGCTGTTCGGTCGAGCGGCACCCAGGACTGGCGTAACGATTATTCAATTGTCCTTTCTTACGGGATATTAACATTTAGTTGTGATAAATAATTTGTCGTTTGGGACATCGTGTAAAAAAAGTACCTTGCCATACCCAAAGCCGGCCTGTAAAAAGATAACCCTGCCTGGTGTACAGGAATCATGGAGCTCCATGCAGGAAGTAAACATGCAGTACAGTTCAGCTCTGCACATTTGACATCATAATTGGGCGGGGACACTCCGTATAAGGAGTGAGGTGATTGACACGTTTCTTGATTTGAATTTTATTTGTCGGAGCTCTACTGACGCCGCGTCTACGAATTCCTTCTCAAGTTCGTTCTCGGCCCCGTTTGCCACTTCAACGACGTGTTTTTTATATGGTCCCCGGTGCAGTGGATCGGTGCCGGTAAACCCATGTACTTGGCAAATTTTTCCATCACACGTCGGCCTTTACCGATCACTCTTCCGGCGATCACCATTTTCCTGTTTACTTGGAACTCTTTTTCTTGTTTTTCAAAAGACGTGAAAATTCTCTCGGCTGAGGAAAAATAACATTCGGAATTTGAACATTTAATTTCGAAAGTGGGGTCCCCAGCCGTGCCGTGTGTCTTCCTCCAATGTCAAATCCCTATGTTGCAACTTGAGCACCG